AACTCAACTATATTTTTTATTACTTATTTGAAACTTACAGGGTATGTATGTGAAGACACCTAGTAATCTTTGAAAATGTGGTATCTTGTAAAATATTTTCCTATATGGAGTGGAACTGCACAAAACTTGTATATGTATCGCATTTCACTTCTTTTCCCATGGGCAATACAAACTCTGCAGGCTCTGGTAGGAACCTTCTTTTTTTCCTATAGATGAAATGAACACAGGAATATGCTGTTTCATGTCACTAGACAGTCTTCCTGGGGGATCCTTTTGTGGGGCTCTCCTTGTACCTTCAGATGATGGACTGGGTTTGTTCCACTCTAGTTCCAGTGAGCCTTCTTTCTCTTTTTCAGTAATCCAGAGAGGAAGAACTGCTTATATTTTATTTTTTCTGTTTATTCAGGACTTTGTAGATTGTATATGAATTGAAAAGGCCACAATTTATTAGATAAAGTACTACCGTTTTTGTCCATTTCACTGTTTTTCTGAGAATGGTGTAGTACCAGAGGTACTGATTTGCATGATCAACACCTTTCATGTGAGCATTGTATTGGAGAACAAACATAGGTATTTTTATTTCTTCTACAGTTATTCTATTTTTCTTTCCTGTGGTAGAAACAGATGAATCATGGATGGTTGAAACCATTCTCAGTTCTCTCTTGTCTTTCCATATGAAAACAAGAACATCACCTTTTCTACAGAATGTTCTTTCACCTTTTTTCATTGTTGAAACTTCACTCTGATTGTTCCGAAGACTCGTTTTATGTTCTAGGAACACGTTTGCAATGGAAGTACTGTTGTAATAATTGTCCTGATATACATGGTGCCACAATCCAAGATTGGGAGCAAGAACTGAAAAAATAGTTTCCTCCAATTTTCCCCTCACCAGTATAAATCTCCATGTTGCAAATATAACCTGTGTCACTCTCACACACCATTCTCACCTGCAGGCCATATTTTACTATTTTTGCAGGGTTGTATGTTCAGAATCTTAGACGTCCTCTCCATGAAATCTTACCCTCATCCAATGACATCTGTTGCTTTTGTTTGTATAGTGTCCTGAATTTATTGAGGAAATAATCCAGTACTGGTTGAATCTTGAGGAGCCTGCCTGAAGACTCATCTATTTTCTGATTATCGTTGAAATGCCAAAATGTTCAAGTTTGTTCAAATCTGTTTTGGCTCATTGTCTGCAAAAATATTGGGCTAATCAAAAGAGGATATGTTGACCAATATTCTTTCCAGTTATATTTCCTTATCTGTCCCATTAGTAGAATAAGGCTTAGGAATTTCCTCATGTCTGTAGGTGTAACTTTAGATGACATTTTATGTTTCTCTGCAGTTTGATTATGGTAAGTACACATTTCCTGACAAAACATTTCAGAAAAGTCATCGCCAAACATTAGATTTGTCATGGCAGCAATATTTTCAGGTTCTGATGGTGTTATAGTGACCCCTGGATTTCCTTCAAACAGTTCCAAGTTCAGTGGAATATCTATTTCTGACCAATTATCATTATAACAATGGGAAATCAAATCACTAACAGGAACAATTGTAGAATCATCATCATTTTTTGAGAGCACAAAAACTTTACGTATCTTTGTAGGTTTAACAATGTCACTGTAGCTAGAGTCACTGTCAGAATGATCCCCAAACACATCCACATCAGAATCTTCACCTTCACTTGGAAGATCTGACAAATTATCATCAAATAGTTCAGTAATTATCTTGTCTTCACTCAACATGTTACGTTTTCTGTGAGAAGCCATTTATAAAAATATAGGCATTGTAAGCAAAAATCAGAAAAAATAATAACTGTCCGGGATAAAATAAAATTTGTCCAACTCCTTTTGAATGCAACGTTTTAATAAATGGTATACAAAGATGCTCTGCATGAAACATGAGTTAACTCGTGACTCTTCTGCAGTGTGTTAATTAATTAAGTACATAGCAGTAGGAAGAGGTTTTAATCCTGATATTGTTGACAGAGCTGTCAAAAAACTAAAAAGCAAGAATAAAAATATTAAGTTAAAACCACTTGCTGAAGAAAGTAGAAAAGAATGTTTGGTTTTGTTATTTATACCTGGCTTATCTTGTCAAATATTGAAACAATTTAGAAAATAAATAAATATTTTTCCAATATATATATACTGATAAATAAAGTTTGCCAAATTCTTAATATAATTAAAGATAACATTGATTTAATGGAAAAATTTGGTATATATAAAATATCATGTGAATGTAAAAAAGTTTATTTAGGACAAATTAGAAGAAACTTAAAATTCAAAATGAATGAACACAAAAGAAATGTTAAAAACAATAATATTACTATTTCTCCTTTAGCAGAGCATATTAATGAAACTAAACACATAATTCATTAGGAAAAAACTGTTATTGTAGCACAACCTGAAAATTTTACTTAAATGAATATATGTGAATGTATTGAGATAATTGAATATAAAGAAAGTAAATTTAGAATATTGAATAAGGATGATGGACTTGATGGAAATGGTGTCAGCAGATGGCATGAAATTCTTTAATATGTAAATTGGTGATTTTTTAATGGTATAAGTAATTGTTATTTTTGCAAAATGTTGCACTCCTGAGGATGACACAGTAAAATATGTAGAAAAAAACTTTTGATATTCATATATGATGTTCTAGAGATTATGCAAATGAAATGTTAAAACTGTCAGATAAAATAATAGATGTGTATGTTTTTTATCCAGTACAGTAAGTTATTTATATTTTATTGTAATTTTGAGACTGGGAACAGTCTCATTTTTAGAATTGTGTAAAAAATAATTATTGTTTTATATAATGCGAGTTTTTTACATTATACATATATTTAGTTGACACAAGCATATATAGGAGTTAGAAAGAGCTCAGTGTACACTATACTACACCAATGGTTAATTTGATATTGGTACACTGTTTTCCTGTTCAAGTAGATGTAACTGTCTGTAGTATTGTTGTCTGCTTGATCGACTAAAGTACTTACAGTGGTTTCTTTCCTAAATATACTATAGCTAGAGAGACAGTTAAGCTGTATTTAGGTCTTTTATATTTTAGTTAATTGTGTATCCTTTGTGTTTTAAAAATCGTATTTGAACAGTTTAATGATTTTTGTATGTTTAACTTGTTGCCTAGATTGTGAAAGTCTTATAAACAAGATGGCACTTATATATGCCATCTTGTTTAGGAAACACGTCTCTGCACGAGGAGTCTGTCGAAATAATTTCATAAAGGCCTGTGGGCATCAGTTGACGTATCGATATAAATAATGACAAAGAATTTGAAAGCAAAATTAAAAATAAACTATAACTAAAAAGATAAAGATGCAAAATTATGCATATGTGAAAAAGACAATTATTCTTGTTAACTTCTATAAAGAGTTGAATGGTATGTGCATATTTCTATTTGTTAGTTTTAAACATTTTATTGCACTGTATGTTGATGATAAGAGATATTTAGTGATATAACAAGTGAAAATGGAAAATAAAATATGAACATTTACCATAAAACTTTTGATATTCATTTATGAGGTTCTAGAGATTATACAAATGAAATGTGAAAACTGTAAGATACAATAATAGATTTTTACACTTCATATGAAAAAATCATCTTGCATGTGAACTATTCAGGGTCTGAGTGCAAATAACTACATAAAATAATGACTTTTTATTAGAAATAGAAAAAAATATAATTAGATATTTTATTTTTCTGAAACTACATATTTTTTAGAAATGTTTTTATTAAATTTCAAACAATTTCATCCAGTACTTTTATTTTTGAAAGACATTTCATGAGAATTGGGTAATTTTCTTCCAACTGAAGTATATCTTCCCTATAGTGTTAGAAAATACTGAAAAGTGAGACTAAATTTGTATGGTCTTGCATATTGATTGGCTATCATCTCCATGTCTGGTTTAAATTTTTGTATGGAGTTATGATCTCTTCATACTATTATGAATGATGAAATTGTCAAAACTTACCATAAACCATTAAAATCTGACATAGGCTCTAATAAAAAAATTAATACTGTAAATTCATTTGAACACTTATCCAATATTTGTTTGCTCTCATAATTGTATCCATAATGAAATGCATTTTTTAAACATTTTTAAAACTGCCAAGGATAAGCTTTCTCTTCAATGCTTAATCACTGTTACAGGTGATTGTTTTAAGTTTTGTAAGTAATAAATTATGGTATATTTGCAAAACTTTTGCTTAATTAGATCTTGAAATATATTCTATACCATTGACAAGATGAAAACCCCATTTACACTATGCTGAGAAATTTGTTATTTAAGAACTTAATGGCAAGGAACCAATTATTATTATGTTTAGTGGTCTGTACTATCACTTATGTCAGCAATTTTTTTTTGTTAGTTACCAATTATCATTTGATATTTATCTTACACTTTGCCTTCTGTTTTCACTTGGTGTGGGAGCTTGTATGAGTGGATAACACCTACATTTCTAACAAGATCTAGGTTGGAGTTCCAACACCTGCCACACAAATTGTATTTCAGGACTTTCCTGAAGACAACAGCAGATTAGCAGTTGCAACAAAAAACTAACTGGTAACTGGTGACAAAAATTAGTAACTAGTTGGTAATCAAATAGGTTACTAAACATCACAACAATTAAGGGCCAAAAACACCACTGGCAGTGAGGATACATGTCTGGTGACCTGGGATAGCATTGTCATTGAAGCTTTTTGTTGTTTGCCTGTATCTCATAATTAAGATTATTTATTTATTTATGATAATTTAAGTATTATTATTATTATACAATTTTAACCACCTTTTTTTGGGAGAAAGTATTGTATTTTTATTTGATATATGCTAATTGGAATAATAAAGTATATGAAAAGTGAAATTATGTCTGCTAATATTTAAAAAAAGTTTGTTGTGATACTTGTATCATCATCAAATTCTTACCTGTTAACTTGCTTTTAAACAGTTAATTTTATGAAGCTAATTTTTTTACAGAACCTATCATTGCTCCAGTGAAAAAGAAGAAATTCTCCCATGTGGAACAGGACTTTCCAAATACAGTGTACAACTTAGAGTAAGTTATGTATATACACTAACATTTTAGGTATATAAAACTCTTAGCACCAACATATCTCTAAGAAAGCTACTGTTTGACATCTGATATGATTTGGTCTAGATGGCCTAGCAGTTAGGGCACTCATCTCACAATCTGTAGATCTTGGAATCAAAACCAGTTGCCTGACATGATCACCCTATCAGCTATGGGAGACATTATAATGTAATGGTCAATTTCACCATTTGTTGTTGAAGAGTAGCCCAAGAGTTGATGGTGGGTGATGTTTTACTAGCTGCCTTCCCTCTAGTTTGTCAATTCAAAATTAGGGATAGCTAGTGCAGATAGCCCGTGAGTAGCTTTCCGTGAAATGAAACAGTAACATTTGATTTAAGCCTATAGCACTGATTAAGTTTAACGTTGAATATTATTTATGATTTTAACTTTATACACAAGTGCCAATATACTATAATGACACAAGATTTGTCAGTTTTAGACATATAGAGGTGTTAGCACTAAAGAAAGAAGATAGTTCTAGACATTCAAAAGTTTGTCAGGTAGCATTCAAGCAGTGTCTGATTTTTTTTTCTCGTATTAAGAGAAACTGTTTGACAGTGTATAAATAGTAATCACTGTTAAGTCTCACACACTTGGAAAATTTAATCTTTCAATTTTTATAATGTCTAATACCTAAACAAAAGTTGTATTAAAAAGAAATGACACCAAAACACATGCAGTGGAGCAGACAAGCATGGTGAAGGAATTGCATCGCTTCAATAAAATGTACTGAATACCTCATGTACAAGATGTAAGAGAAATGGTATACTAGAATATATATTAAACATAAAATATATGATAATTTTAATGCTGATTAAGAAGTGCAGGTGTAACTAAACTTCCCTCTCTCCGAGGTATATGTTGAATTAATAAACAATCTTTAAAAAATAAATGTGACTGATAGTAACACACTTTTGTAAGTTTTTGTTGAAGGTCTCCAAATTTAATTTCTAATCAGACTTTTAGTGTTATTCTATTTTGCATTACTGTTTATTTATTATTATCTTAAATTAATTAACAGTTTTATGCTTAAAAGACTGGCTATTAATCTACCTAGAATGGTGACTATTGAATTAAGATAGTTGCAGTTTTCTAATTGGCCACATTAGGGTGCTTTTGCAATGCAAGTTTACAGTATGTAGCTATATAAGTATTTTACGTAGCATCAAATACATGTACATAAACAGTGTCCATTTTTTGTTATTTAAAATATAAAAACATGATTAATACTCTATATTTTGTAAACTACATGTGAATATTTCATATATATGTATTACCTGTAAAATAAAAAGATTTTCAATCAAATGTCAAATGGTAGTTATGGTGAGGTCTTCCATACATTTTGCAAATTAATACTATTGAAGGTTCAAACCTTTGTTCAGTAATGTGTTCCAAACTTTAAAAGGTCAACACTATAGCCCTAACATGTTTATCTTGTCTAGTTTATAAATGTAGATGCTGGAACATGTAATCAAAAGTTGTTGAATAAAGTTATTTAACTGAACATGTATGAGGTTGTTTCATTGGACTGACCCTATATTGGAGAAGGAACATTGACTATAATTCTGCATTTACTATGTTTACCCAGGTGAAACATAGCAAGCTTTTAATAATATGTACCAGTCTGTTGTACACGAAAAATCAAATGTGTTAAAAATGTATTGGTACTCAAGATATGTCTGAATTTCTGCCATCAGTCTGACTCATACTTTGACAAGTTGGAGTGCAAGGTGATTTACTTTTATATGAAATACTTTTGTCCATTATACACTTTCCATATTCCATTTGCATAACCTCTAGAACCTCTGAATTGCATTTCTACAACTTCTTTTAGTATTTCTATTATATTGTATCTGATATTTACTTTTCTCTGCCATGAACTATTGCTAAATCAGTAGCGTAAAATGTATAGTTGATAACTCTGACATCAAATACATAATAAAATCCATATTTAATACCACTCTGTAAAAGATCATGGCTGTCCACTTTTACCCCACCTGTGCACGTAGGGTTAAATTTAGTAGGTAAATTATAGTATGTACAGTTTGGATTAGGTAACATTTAACAATATTTTATTGTGATACATAAAAAATAAATATATCAGCAATTTATGGAGTTTCATATATATTGGATATTTTGACATTTCTCATATTATTAATATAAAAGAAATACATTTTTAAGCAAAAAAGGAAATAAAAGAACTTAGTTATCTCTGAAGTAGTACAATAAAGATATTTTAATAATCATGCCACACAATTTGCAAGTCACCCAGTGAACGTGCACTTCAGTTCAAGTTGCGATAATGAATTATGTAATGTATAAGCTGCTCATGAGCATACCTCCTGAAGAATTTCTATTATTTTTCATTATTTTACAAAATTAAACTTTATCTAATCTAATAAGTTTCTGATTTTTTACATCTTAGTTGCTTTTATAACAATAGCTAAAAAATATGTATGTAAAACAAAAAATATAGTACTTATGTTTGATCTCTCTCTTTTTTTTTTGTCAGTTACTGATGAAATTTAAGCATACCTTTCTTTATAATGTACTGGTAGACTAACTTATTTTTATTTACCTAAATAATGCACCTAAGATACAAAAAAAAAATTGTAACATGTAAAGGAAAAAATGTCCTGTAACTATCATAATTCAACTGGCTTTCTAAGTAAGACAAGAGGGGCTTAAAATAATTCCCTTAGCTCCTCGATCTGAAGACTGCAAGAAAAAATTTCAAATTGAAGATGAACTTGACAATACTCTGTACTGAAAACAATGTAACGTTGTACATTATTTGATAGATTAAAAAGTGGCCTTTCTATTGGGTATAAGTGATAGGAAATGTCGAAGAGAATTATTGGCTGTTTGTGAAAGATAGGGTGTGACAAGTGGACATGGCAAGTGGGTCTGATTTTTTAGTTTGAATCCGTGAACAAATAAGATTGAAAGCTATAAAAATTTTGCTTTGCCTTTGTAATATCTATATTAAAATGAGTAATTTACATACTTTAGAGAGGAGTAGTAAATAAATTAGAAAATTGTGAAGAGCTAGAGAACAAATATCACAATTATCTTTCTAGGGGAGATTAAAGATTTATTTAAATGTTTGTTTATGAAATTAAAAACTTAAAATTTACATTAAAATTTGATTTATTAAGTGTGTTTTGATTTCAAGTTTATTTGTATACATTGATAGTAAAGTGGTTTAATTAAATTTTAAATGTTACTCTAAAAGGTAATTACATCCATTTTGACCTACGTGAAGCAAAAGGGTTAAATTGTACATAAGAACTAAAAAGTACTTATACCACTTATTCTGCCAATATAATTTTTTTGTAACAGCGTGTAGTGTCATATCAGATTGTTTGTAAGAACTGAAAAATACTTGTTACATTATAGCTGCCACTAACAGTACTTTATTGTAGTATGTACAGTGCTATATCAGATTATATATAAGAACTAAAAGAACTCTCTACATTATAGCTGCCACCAGCAGTATATTAGTGTAAGTTGTGTGGTCCATTATCAGATTTTTCGTAAGAATTTAAAAATTCTTCATACATTATCTACTACCAATAGTATCTTATCATAAGATTAAGTAGTATCATATCAAATTGTATGTAAAAACTGAAAAATACTCATTGCATTATAACTACCAAGCATTACATTGTGTGGTCTCATATCAAATTGTCTGTAGTTATTGAAAAATAGTCATTAAATTATAGCTGCCAATGTTATTTCATCATAACATTGTGCATTGTCTGTAAGAGTTGAAAGTACTCTTTACAAATTGTTTTTTAGTTCAGGTACCAGAAGTAAAGATCACAATACTGTTACATTTACTTTAAAACTTCAAGTTCAGTAAAAATTTTACTTAAAATAAGATTTGTGTCATTATGTAATTTAGAAGTTAGATGCATCTTCTTACAACTTTAAGCATTTTCATACATTGATGATGGAAGTAAAGATAATTATTTTGAATTTATATTTAATCTGAAATTTCTATTAAAATATTAGCGTACATGCTCAAAAACTTTTCATATATTTTAATATATTTGTAGAAATTCAGGAGTTTAATTTCTCATAAACTGGTCTTGTGTAATCTGAGTTAGAGAAGTTTGAGTACCAATTTTGATTTTGCTAATTTGCATGGCAAATTGGTCTGTAACTTGGTTTGATAAATGATTCATCCTAATTTAAGCAGTAACTGATGCTTGATTTTAGTTTTCATGGTTTATAAATTTTAAATCGTAAAGTTTTAAGTAATTTTAAAAACCACAAGCATGCTTATTAATATCACAAACCATTTTATCACCATGATAATATATGCTGCATAAGACAATTAAAGGAGAGTTATAATCTGTAATCATAACTCCTGGATTGAGAGTTATGTAAAGCATCTATTTAGAATAAATTACCAACATTTCATGCTTTTTTTTCAAAACCATACCACCAGTGAATTAATGGCTATATATTACATCTATTGAAACTAAATCACCAAGATTTCATGGTCCTCTTTAAAGATCATAACACCAGTGGATTAACCCTCTCACTCTAGATGTGTCAAAGTGTGCATGCCACAACTTTTTAGAGTTACATTCAATATTTAATTAAACTACTTTATTATCATTGTATATGAATAAACTTGGCATCAAAATATAGTTTGTAAATTAAATTTTAATATTACTTAAGTTGTAAGTTCTTAATTTTATAAGGAAATATTTTAAAAAGTCCTCAGTTCCCCTAGTATGAGAATAGTGAGATTTGCTCTCTAGGTCTTCCCTCGTCTCTAATTTATTTACCACCCCTTCAAGAAGTACAGTATGTAAAGTAAATTACTCATTATAATATAGATATTTCTCAGACAAATCATAATTTTTATAGCCTGCATTCTTATTTGTTTACAGAGCCATAAACTAGAAAATCAGACCCACTTGCCGCACCCACCTGTCACATCCTCTGTT